AGAGCTGGTGCTGGAGGACCCCACAGGCCCGGCCCCACCCCCACCCACGTGGCCCAGAGCCTGCAGCAAGAGGAAGGTTGCTGCGGTGGCCAGGCCAGGGGGGCACGATGGTGGGCTAGGAAGAGGGACACACAGGGGTCCTCCCTCCTGTGCCAGAAAGGGGTGACTTTGCCCAGGGTCATGAGCACAAGCAGTAGTGGGCAGCGTCAAAGCCCCGCGCTGCAGTCCCCAGTCAGCGGGGCTCTGGCTGCCCACCCACTCTCAGCACAACCTGCTGGAGCCAGAGGGCCACAGCCAAGGTCTCAGGGATCAAATCCCAATTCATTAGCGGGATGGGAGGGGGTGTGGGCAGCTCTGCCCTGGCTGCGGTCTCGGGTGGACCAAGCAAAGCTGCTTCCCACGATCGATCTGTGGACAATGATGAGACCAACAGTCAACCACTTAGGCAGGCAGAGGGCAGGACATAGCCACACAGTGACCTGAGCCTGGCTCTACCTCTGAGGGCTGCCCAGGGCCAATGGGGGCCGAGTCACCACACCCCTCACTGCCCAGGAGCTTCCTGAAGAGGGCACCCCACCCCACCTCTCTGTCCCCTGGTTCTCTCCTTTGTCCCTGCCTTGGTATCTCTGTCTCTGGGTCTCACAGGGGGCATCTTGGGGTCCCTGTCTCTTCTTCCTCCCTGGGCCTGGCCTGCCTGCCCCTGATGTCTCTGGGGCTTCCCTCCCTCTCTGACTGGGTGCCCTCCCCTCATGGTCTCCAATAAGATGACTGCCTCCTCCCTGTGTCCTCCCTTCTCATGGCTGGGAAGGTCAGGAGTGCCCAGGGCTAGCCAGCTAGGAGCCGGGCAGGCGCTGCAGACCCTCCCACCCACCACCTGGGGCCAGGATGGAGTTCACCCACTGGGGATGGCACCCCTGTCCAAGCTGTGGGGAGGTCACACAGGGGCAAGTGTCCAGCAGGGAAGGGGGCTCAGGGGAGTCTGGACAGTGGGGACCTATTGTTTGCCCTGCCTACTGCCTCTGGACAAGGTCAGAGACCCCTGGGCTTCTGGGCAATGAGCAGTTTGGGGTGAGAAGGGGTGGAGGGGGCCTACTTCTCCACACAGGTGCTTGCTGTGGACAGGCCATCCCCCCACCCCCACCAGAGAGCCCAGCCAGGCCAGTTTCTGTCTGATCAATGGCTAGGCACACCCTGAGCCTGGAAAGGATGCTGACCAAGGCCCGGCCCCTCCCATCCCCTCCTCATCAATAGCAGATCATCCGCACACAATGCTGTCTTCAGCCCCCTGGGGAGCCACAGCAGAAATGGCCTGGCCCTGCAGCTACGGCAAGGTGCTGCCTGAGAGAGAGGCCAGTGGCCAGGTGGTGGCCCCTGGCCTTGCCACCCTGCCTGTCTCCCCAGAGGCCCCTGGGACTGACAGGGTGGGCCCTCCAGGGCTGCATGGGGCCTTCACTAGGCTTGACCCGATGCTACCAACCCACCCTGAGGCCTTGTGTGTCAGGCAGAAAGGCCAGGCCAGCTTGCAAGTCCAGCCAGGGGACCCGGGGGAACTGCTGAACAGGACCCTCAGTGAGCAGAGCCCAGGGGTCATGAAAGCACCAAACGGCCCCGCCAGGTCAGGGGACCTGTGGCCTGCCACAGAGAGGTGGGATGGAATTCCTCACGGGCAGGTCCACAGGTCCTTCCCTGAGCAGCCCTGGCCGGAAGCTCACCCAGGGACATGGAGGCACAAGAAAGGAGCACAGAGGAGGTTGGATTGTCTGGGTCAAGGCCTGCCAGGATGGCAGGGCAGTCAGGCTTCAGGTACTGCCTGCTCAGACGGCCCCTCTGTCCCCCCAGGTAAGGACGGGCAGGGTAGGGTCCTGCTCCCTGGGGCAGCTGTTCTTTCCTGCCTGGTGAGGGTTATGGTCAGGGCAGCAGGGATGTGGGGGCGCTGGGGCAGCCTGGTATGGGGAGGAGCAGGGTGTTAGGCAGACAGGGCTGCAACTGGACCACAGGTCACCTGGCCACTGTGGGGAGTGGCTGGAGAGGCAGCAGGGAGGTTCCCTGGACTCTGACACAGCCCAGCAGGTCAGCCTAGCAGGCCCTGGACTGGGCATGGGCTCTTGTCCTAGCACCTGGGGCCTGGCTAAGACTAGGCACTCACCTCCTGGCCGGTCAGGGCAGTTGGTTGGGTTGACTGGGAGCCTGGGGCCCTCCCTCCGGTTGCACCGTCTGTCTTGGAGGAAGGCTGTGGGGCTGCCCCCTGTTGCTCCCCACCCAGTTTCAGGAGCTTGGCCTGGGGACTGGGACATCTCTGTTCTTGAACCAGCATTTCAGAATATTCCTAAAAAGGAGAATCGGTCAAGAATCCCAGAGCCTGGGCTGTTTTTCTAACTGGGAGGACGGCAGCTTGGTACACCTCCGAAGGGCCCCTGGGTCGGTGGGTGGCAAGTGCACTGCCCTCTGAGGCCCTCCAGGCTACAGTCAGCCTTCCCTCTGCCCGGCTGGGCAGTGACCCCCAGGTCAGCAGCCCATCACCCAGGCAGGAAGCCCAGGGACACAGAGGCTCCAGGCAGGGAGGACCAACTCCTTCAGTTCAGCTCCCCGTTCCCCTGTCCTCCCCCAGCCTGTCCCCCATCCTGTCCTGTGGTGTGGCCAGGCAGGGCAGGGCAGACAGGCTAACTGCCCCGTGCTGAGTTGGGTCAACACGGACCGCCCTTCCGAAGGCAGACTCCCCTGTTCACCAGCAGGCTTCTGCCCACTGCGGCTGGGGTGCCCAGCCCTGCTCTACGGCTGCCTCCAGACACCTCCTCTGCCTCCTCCTTCAGGCTCCTGAGGCAGCCCCTGCCATTCTTCCTGGAGGACAATGGCCAAGGGGTCTCAACTGCTGGACCACCCCCAGGATCCTCCAGCGCTGCCTGCCAACCCCTCCATCCTGGTCAGACGCCAGCCCCGGGAGGCAAAGTCTGGGGCACCCACAGCCAGGCTGTCTCCTGCCTGGAGAGACCGGAGCTGGGCCTCCTGCCCCGACACCGAAGGTGATTTAAAATTATACTCAACGTGGAAGTGACCTCTTCAGCCACGTAGAGCACACAGCTCAGTGGTGTCAGGCACATTCTTGCTGCTATGAGCCAAACTCACTGTCCACCTCCAGAGATCCCCCAAATTCCCAAGGGGAACCCAGGCACCCACAAGCACTAGCTCCCGCCCTGGTGCCCGCTTGCCTGTCAGCACGGGCCCCGCCGGGAGCTGGTCAGTGGGCCGCTTTGGTCCTTCTGCGGCCTAGCTCCTCATCCCGCAGGCTCACCCACGCCTCAGGCTGACAGGAGGCCAGGCCAGGCCAGCAGCCTCACCCAGGAAGGGCTGGCAAGCCAGAGCGACCCCAGGACTGTTTGAGGAAGGATGTTCCGGGAGGGGGCACTGGGGAGAGGCCAGCAGCACACTGACCTCTCCAGGCTCCACGTGGACCACACTCAGAGGTGGGGATGAGGTACGCAGAGCTGTACCTGAGCTCTCCGTCGGCTAGGGCCCAGCTCAGCACCCACCCTGTGCAGTTGGAAGGATGAGGGCGGGGGCCGCCGGAGCCCACCCTGACCTCACTCCCCCAGCCACTTCCCTCCCAGCCAGGGCTTCCCAACCAGCAAAAGAACTCAGGGCTGGTGAACACAGCCCTGTCCTGCAGGTCCCCACATTCTTGTGCTGACCCCTCTGGGCTGGGCCGGAAGTGCCCTGCCCTCAGGGGCTGTGCTAGGAGGCAGGGACAGATTGGAAGTCCCCCCAGCATCCCACCCCATTTGTCATAGGCCCATTAGGTCCTGACAGCTGCTTCCCCTCTGTCCAGTTAGGGGCGGGGCTGAGGCTTCCGGGTGCCCATCAATCAAAGGCCCTGCACCGTGGTTTAGGCAGGGCGGGGGGCCTCTGAGGAAGGACATCATGAAAGCAGCCAGATTGCTGGAGCACATGGCGGGGAGGTGGCTCCCCATACGAGGAGCAGAGTTGTGCAGTGCCCCCAAGGTCACCTTGGTGGACATCCAGAACCAAGGGCACCTGCCAGCACCACAGGGAGCCAGGTCTAATTTGTGGGCTCCCCCACCCTCACAGCAATAACTCTGGGCCTCAGTTTGCCCAGTACCTGAGCCATGGGTGCCTGGGAGGCTAACTGGACCCCACGCCACCCTGGCAGAGTTCAGCCACTGGCCTCCTGGGGCTGATTACTGATGGCCCTAGGCTGGGAAAACAGAGGGCCAGTGGCTCTTCTGGCCTCCTCCACTGGACACCCAGTCCCCTGCCCCACTGCCATCCTGGGGCTGCAGGCAGGCCCAGGGGCAGGAGAGGCCTGCCGGGCACTACGCGCTCCTGGCCAGGCCTGCCCGGCAGGCGCTAGTTATGTATACCACAGGCTGTTTATTGATAGGGCCTGATGGGAGGCACACTTCAACCTGGGCCCCAGACACCCACAGCCCCACCGCAGGGGCAAAGGGCCCGGTCTCTTGGGAAGCAGCTTTCAAGTGCCCCAGCCTCCTTCCCTTGTAGGGACACAGAGGCCACCAGGGAGGGTCAGCCCCTGCCCAGGCCTGCCTCCAGGCCCCATGTGGACCACACTCAGAGGTGGGGTGAGGAACGTAGCGCTGGGGACTGGCCCTCCTGCTGCAGGCTCCAGACTTGGGAGTCTGAGGTGGGCCAGGGCAGTCTTCTCATGGTCCCTCCAGGCAGTGCCCAGGACCCCTGGGCTGAAATGGCGTTGACACTTCCTATCTAGAATCTGAAGGTGCTCCTGTGCGCTGGATCTGGCTACCCTCCCAGGGCGGGGGCAAACACCTACCCTGGAGCCCACCAAGGGGACAGAGGGAGGAGCCCTCCTCTTGGGGGGGGCAGACCCTGGGTGCAGGAGAGGGCCTGCCGGGCACCACAGGAGAGGCCAACCCACCTGCCCGCCCCAAGGCTCTGGCTCCGTATTTCAACTGCCCACTTGCCCTGTACCCCGCCCCTGCGGTCAGATTAATTTGGGAAGGACAATGTTTGTATTAACCATTCATTTATTGACGTCTGCTTGCTGGGTCAATGGCCAAATTTATTTTCTCACAAGATGGGCCTTATCGAGCCGCAGTCTCCTCCCTCCCGCCAGCCCAGGGTGGACAGACACTGTCGATACACAGACCGCTGACCTTGGGCCTGCCAGTCTCTGCTGTGGGCGGGGGAGGCAGGAAGGGGAGCAGGAAGCAGGGTCAGCGCTGCACCCACCACAGCTGGGACACCCCAGGAAGCCACACCCACACTCACGGCTCCTGACGACTGCCACAGGCCAGGGTCTGACCCAGGCAGGGGAGGCCAGAGGACCCAGAAGATGGGGCCAGGGACACTGTCCACACCCTCACTGGTACTTGCTGAGGCCAGTCCAGCTGCCAGTCTGCTGGGGGAGGCAGTCACCCCAAGTCCCCCAAATCAGCCTGGCTACAGAAGGCTAGTGTTCCCATGGAACTGCAGGTCACTGGGGCACCTAGGACAAGGAGCACAGGGAGCCAGCTTCCCTCTCCCTTGCCACCTGACTGTGGCAGCTGGGCAGGGAGGAGCTGTGATGGCATGGACACAGGTCTGGGACACCTGCACTGCCAGAGCAGGCTGGGCCCCGGGAAGGGGACAAGGACGGGAGAGCAGCCACCCTGGGGACTGAAGGTCGAGCTTCCACAGAGCCAGGGACTCCCCAGGCCCAGCCTGCGCTCCCTGTCAGAGGAAGTCCTACTGCCTTCAGCACACCCCACAGCCCTGCTCCAGGAACCCGGACCCCAGGACCCAGACACCCTGGGGGATGCCCCAGATGAGCACTCAGGCCTGCCAGGCCCAGGAGGGGACAGCGGGGTTTGGCCAGGTGACCCCACGCTGGTTCACAGGGTTTCCCAGCCCATCCGACCCTTGTTCACTCACCATCCATCTGGGGTGATGCGGCTGGGTGGGGTGGATCTGGCCACAAAGCCGAGGGGGGCTGACAGGTGTGGCAGAGAGTGTTTTGGCCCAGGGACCTGCACGCTCCAAGGCCCTGAGGCAGGGCAGGGCAGGCAGCATGTGTTTTGCTGGGGCTGGAGAAGGGGTGCACTCTGGTGTCTTCCAAAGGAGGGTGTGGGGGGAGAGGACTGGGGAGGAGGAGCCGCCTGAGGGGGCGGAGAGCGGCCTTCCTCAGTCCTCTGGCCCTCCGTGTCCTCTCAGGTCCTCCGGGCTGTGTTGTGCTCACCCTGCGGCCACCAGACGGCGCTCGGAGCCCAGGCAGGCCTCCCTGGGGGAGGCGAGGATGGGTCAATGGGCTCATTTGTGGGTGGGCAGGGCAGTGGATGAACCTGGGACGGCCGCGTGCTGATTAAGAGGCCACACTTGAGTCGGACCCTCCTTCAAGCAGTGATGAGCGATTGATCAGCTCATCAGGGGAGAAGGGAGAGGGGGGGAGGGTGGGACAGGGAGGGAGAGCCCACCCACCCTGGCTCTTACTGATGCCTCTGTCCCCTCCTGTGGCTCAGGGACTGGTGGATCCCAGCTCCTCAGATTTCCTTTCCCCCGTGTCCCTTCCAACAGGGATGGGGCCACCCAGGCTCCCAAGTCTGGGGATGGACCCAGGGTGCTCTACCACTGAGCTGCACCCCTGGCCATTTTTATTTCTTAGTTTGATTGCCCAGGGTGGCCTTGAACTTTGCCCTCCCCCGAGCCGGGGTTCCAGTGTGCACCACTGCACCTGGTCCTGGGCCTGTTCCTGCTCCTTCCTCGCACATGACTCATAGGTTTTATTTTTTGAGCATTTTGGATTTATAGAAAGGTGAGTGGACGCTCCCGTGCTTACTCTATTACTATAGCTTGCGTGCGGGTGTCTGTCTGGTGTGACCGATGACCCTGTGGTGACGCACTGTGATCAGAGTCAGTCCACGTGGGCTCTCTCCGTGTGGCAGGAGATGGGGAAGCAGATGTACCCCCGTGCAGTACGTCCCCGCCTGTCCATGTGGCCTCCACTGCCCGTCCGGCCTCCACTGCCCGTCCACTCCTCAGACCCCCAGCCAGCCCTTCTCTTCCTATCTTCGTGGCCCTGCCTCTGCAGAGGTCCAGGAGGAACCGAGGCCGGGCAGCCTTCTCAGACGGGCTTCTCTACTGGGCACTGGGCCCTTAAGATGCTCCCCTGTCTTTTCAGGGCCTTGTAATTCACTTCTCTTGGTGCCGAGTGGTATTCTGTCAATATTCAACCTGGCCTGTCCCTTGTCACCTGCTCAAGGCACTTTGGCCATCACAGCCGCAGCTGCTGGGACACTGCTGGCTTTCATGGAGACCTGAGTTTCAGCTCATGGTTCAACTCCGAGGAGCGCACCTCTGGAGCCTCCGGAGGACTGCTTTGTTCTGCGGTCTGAGGGCTGCTTCCCAAGAGGCTGGTGGGTCTGAGGGGGACCCACGCTTCCTACAGTCTGCGGATGGGTGTTCTCTCCACCGCTCCTCTTCAGACATCTGCTGCGGGCTCCCCCTGCAGAGCAGGGGACTCCACTGCGCCCCCACCTGGTGGCAGCCTGGGTCCCATCGCTGGCTGTGGTACAGCCCCAGGTCAGGCAGCTCGCTCTGGCCACATAGACGCTGGACCCTGCAGTTGACCCTGTCCTGCAGTCAGGTCATCTCTGTCTCTCCACACAACCTGGCCTGTGTCCTGGCCTGCATGTGGCCTGACTGCCACAGCGTCAGTGTGTGACTTCTGGGCCTTCTCCCTTGAGCGCCCACCACCTGGGATGTCGTAGTCACTTCCTGTGGCCGTTCCCTGAGCAGCTCCAGGACCAGTGTCTTCTTCCTTCTCGGTTCCAATCCCATTTCTGGGCACGCTGCCCTCTCGCTCCTGCAGAGTGAGCCGAGGCAGGCAGCCTGCAGGCCTGGCAGCCGTAGAGTGCCCTGTGCTGTGATCCACGGCCAACGCTGCCCTGCACAAAGCTGGCTGTCAGGAGCTGTGCCTTACCTCTCCCTCACGTGAGGTCTCTTCTCTGATCCCCTTTTTGTATTCCACCTGCCCCTGTCCTGCCAGAAGCTTCTAGGGTCTTCTGTGTCTTCAGGGTTGTAAAATGTCATGGTGACCTAGGTCTCTTTCCCTGTGTACTTTGCACTCACAGGAGGAGCCCCACTGCAGCCACTGGCAGGGCCTTGGTGTGAAGGGGAACAGCTGCAGGCTCCTGGGACCCACCCAAGGAAGTCCCCACCTTTCCATATAGGAGGGGGTCCCCTGCAGGGTCCTGATCCCCATGCTGCCCCCACCATGCCCCAGGCTGAAGCTACCTTATGGAGAACCCAACAGACTGTCCAGAGGTGCTGAGCAATGTATCCTGGACAGCAGGGGAGGCATGTGGGAGGTCGTGGGGTACACCTCTGGGTTAAGAAGAAGTCCCAACCACAGGTGTATTAGTCATGGCCTAGCAGAGTGGCCTGAAGCCCAATCCTGCCACTCCAGGTGTCTCTGGTGGACCAGAGAGGGCTGGGCCAGCTGGGGATGCCTCTAGAGTCTCCCAGGGACCCCAGCACGGTGGGGCAGAAGCCACGGTGGAGTGTGCTGGGCAGAGACAGCCGGAGGCGGCACCACAAAGTCACGCATCAGGGCTCTGCCTTTCCTGCACCAACTAGCCCACGGGCTCCTCTGCCTGCCTGGGTCCCAGCAGGGCTTGCCAGGTGCCACCCCCCCGCAAAGAGCCCAGCCTCTCTGCCACCTTCCTGAGGCCCTGGTGTCAGCCTGGCCCCAGGCAGCCCTCCCCAAACCCTATGGGTAATCAGGGACCCTCTGCAGGTCCCTGATTCTGGGCTGCTCCCTGCCCCGCACCCTACCTCCTGAGTCCCCTTCTTGGGACTCACCCAGCAATGATGGGTGCCACACTGCCTTCCCTAGGGAGACCTCTGCTCCTTTCCTCCCCATCCTGCCCCTATTCCCTGAATGCGTGACCCGATGTCAAGTGTCAGCTGGGAACAGGTAGCAGCACTGCTGTGTATTTGTAAAAATGCTGATCCTCAGGCCTGCCTTGGGCCTTGGAATGCCCAGGGTGGGGCTGGGAACATGCACTTCGATGGCTCTTGGTGCCCAGGGTCTGAACTCCAGTCCTTGGAGGGAGCCTGTTATAGGACTCACCCCCTAGGATCTCCCAGAACCAGAGCCTTGGGAGGGGCCAGCCTCGGATAGCTGAGGAGCCCGCTGCCTGGCCTCCCCTGCCACACTGGTGCCACTTCCTGGTCCTGCGTCCCTTCCCTTCCTCAATAAAACGTCAGCAGATTTGACTGGGGAGGCACTTGAGCTGGACTCCGTTGCTTTGAGAATGCACACTGAACACTGGCTGGGCTAAATTCTTTGCTTTAATAGTGTGCAGGCCACAGTCGTTTTAGAAGGCTGTGCCTCAGAGCAGGAGCCCCCTCTCAGGCACCCGCCCCACTGCATCCAGTCCTGCACAAGTGTCTCCTGCAATTCCTGGCTGGGCTTCCTCCGCCTCAGGCCTAGGGTTCTGCAGATTGGCTCCCAGAGGCTGGAGCCTTGTCACAGACAGCCCTACCCCCACTAGCTGCAGGATTCCCGGCTCTGCAGGGGACCTGCCTGAGGATCCAGGCCTCCAGGGGCTCTGCAACCTGACCGGGAGGCCTTGCCTCTGCTGCCTGGCTTCAGTGGCCCGGTAACCACCCCCCAGCAGCCTCCACCCCAGCAACCCCACCACTGCCAAGCCCTCTGCCAAGGCCTGGGGAGAGGCACGGCCCTAGGGTCCTCTGCCACCTCCAACCATCACCTCTGCCCCCACCCAGCCTAGGACAGTGGGAACATGGCTCAGGCCACCCCTCTGCAGTGAGGAGGGAGGGGACCCCTGGTCTGCCTGGCCCACTTCAGGGCTGACACAGCCCTGCACAGGGCCTCCCTCTGGCCTCTGGGATGAGGCGGACAAGGCTGCTCCTCATAGGCTGCCCGCCTCACCCAGGGGCAGCCTACTCTGCCTTCCTGCCCAGAAGGAAGGGGGCTTCAGGAACCCTGCCCAAGGTCTGCTGGCCTGGCCAGGTGCTGCTTCCCCTGGCTCTAAGCCCAGGACCTGCAGGGGCTCTGGTCACCAGCACGTCCCCCTTGGTGTCCAGCCCTCACAGCCATGCTTCTTTTTCCTACTGGGGCCCCATGAAGGCTCTAAGACTCAGGGCAATCGCCCCTTTAGGCCACGAGTCACCATCCTGGGAACTAAGCCACTGTCCTGGGGCTCCCAGCCTCACCTACTGTCCCTCCCGCTGTTCCCCTCTGGCTGCCTGAGCTGTCCCCCTGGCCTCCAACCTGGTCTGGAACAAGCTAAGATGAACCTTGGGGGGCCACACACTCAGGGCCTGAAGGGGACACAGGCACCAGCCCTGACCTAGTCCAAGGCTGGGTCTGGCCCTGAATGAGGGGTCCTCACAGGGCTGCGGGTTCTACTGAGTGTCCCATTGATCCTTTCCAGGGACCCTCTGGGCAGGGACTGCAGCCGAGCCACACCTGGCCTTCAGGAAGCTTCTGCCTGGACTGTGTGGAGCTGCCCTCCACCTGACTCTGGGGACCTGCCTGGGCATCGCTGCCTTCCCTGCGCAGTGCCCTTCCGGCTGGGTGCTCAGCACCAGGGACTCTGGCAAGCCCTCGGAGCAAGGGCTACTTCCCAGGTTCGGTCGAGGAATGGAGAGTGGTAGCTGAGCTGGTCAGCGGAAGCGGGGGCAGGGCCTTGTTCTCTAGCTCTCCTTCTGACCCGGCTTTGCTTCTGGGCTCTCGGGACGCCTCTCCTGTGCCTTACGTTTGGGTGTCCTCACAAGAACTCTAATCCTTCCGCCACCCCACCCCAGGGATGGCCAGCTTACCTGGGCCACCTGGGGCAGCTCCGGACGGGCGGGAGGGGTCAGCGGGAGCAGGGGACCGGGTGCAGCCCCCGGGGCTGGACCCTGCCCACTCCGCCCCGGCGCCCCTCCCCGCAGGAGCGGACTCGCGCACGCGCACCAGCGCCGGCCAAAGCCGCGCCGCAGAGAGCAGACAGCTGCGAGCACCGCGGTTCCCACCTCTCCCCACCCGCCCGCGTAGGGACAGCCGCAGGCACCGGCGGTGGCAGCTCAGCGTGTCACCTCCCCTGTCACCCGCGCGGTGCAGCGGCCACACTACCTCTCCAGATGCGCAGAACTCAGAGCTCCCCGCACTTCCCTGGAGCGGCGCCATCTGACGCCCCCCACCTCCCGCGCCCCTACCCCACGCCCGCTGCCATCTGGCGGCAATGGCGTGGCGCCAGGCCACGGGCTCAAGGCCAGGCAGGCGCACCCATCCCCTCCCCTGGACACCATGTCCCCGAGCCTAGGGGGCCTGCCACTTCAAGGTGTGGCTGCTGGGCGGGGAATGCAGGTTGGGGGGTGGGGCGGGAACCAGCGGGACCCCCACCAGGGCCCACCTCCCTGGACCCTTTCAAGACCCTTGTCGGACCTTCTCAAATTGCTAAGATAGGGTTCAAGACCAGCCTGCCCTGCCCCACTGGTGGCCTAGTGGGGACCCCCAAGCCCACGCACTGAGCTGCAGCTCCCCACCAGCCCTCACCGAGCACCTCAACTTGGAGGCCAAACCTCCCCAAACCTCTGGAGCCCCCTCAGTCGCCCTTCTTGACACAGAGCTGCCAAGAGGAAGTGAAGGGGACTCTCGCGGGGCCCATTCTTCTAAGGCCCCACCCTGGGTTCCCCAGGTTCCTCTCTGCTGCCTGGGGCTCCTGCTGTGGGTGGGTCCCCGTCCCCTGCTCACCCCAGGGCAGGCTTGACACCACCACCTGCTGCACAGAGGAGGAGTCAGCCCAGGGGGAGCCTGGAAGTCATGGGGCGGCTGGAGGGCTGGACAGAGGTGGAGGCAGGTCTGTCAAGGCCGGGGACCTCAGGCAAGCATCTCCTCCAGCCTTCCTTCTGCCCGCCCTCACCACCTCCACACTCAGCCCCTCCTGCCTCCCCAGGAGCCCACGAGGAGAAGGCCCAGGGTGTCCTGGCCAGAGCCCTGCCACTGTGTCCAGGCCACCCCCAAACTGTGGCTCTGGGCGTGGGGAGGGAACCTACAGTCCAGAGGGTCCCAGAAGGTCAAAGATGGGCTGGACCCTGTGAGGGGTGAGAGCCATGGACAGAGCCATGGACACCCACCTTCTCAGGAGGGAGTGAGGCCTCCATCACTGGACAAGGCCCATCTAGCAGGCGACCTGTGGGCAGGCATTCTGAGGGGGAGGGCAGGGCAGGGGCCCAGGATGTGTGTGACAGGAGAGGTGGAGACCAAGTAGCCAGACAGGGATGGGTGACTGGACAGATGGTCAGACAGCAGAGAGGACAGGGGCTGAAGGCCAGGACCAGAATGACACAGAAGCTGAAAGACCAGGGCTGGGAAGAGGATAAGGCCATAGGGTGGAGACCAGGCCAGTGGATTCAGGGCCAGGGGCCCCCAGTGGCTGGCAGGGGTTGAGTTTGGTGCTGGGGCCACTTTGGGGGCTGCAGAGCTGGCCAGGCAGGGGGTGCTCAGTGCAAGATTGCCCTTCACCCTCCTCCAGTCTCCATAAAGCCACTAATTAGTATCCTGACCACTCAATTAATTAGGCAGCACGTGCTTAATTATGATGGGGTGGGGGCAGCGCCATCAGCCCCCACACCAGGAGCTGGGGTTTATGGACCAGAACAGAATTACGAGGCCAGCTCCCACCCACGACTGGCGGGGCACAGCGGGTGCAGGCGGGCCCACAGCCCCGGGAGCGGGGACTCCTGCACCACCCACTGGAACCAGAGGTCTCCAAGGCAGGCTGTGGCCTCTGGAGTGGAGCCACACCGTGCCGTGTCTCCTCCCTGCAGCCCCTGAACTGGGCCCACAAGGCCACCAGCAATGCTCTTCTCCTGCCAGATCAGGAACCTGTGGGCCACCCTGTGTGATTTGTCAAATGTCCTTCTAGACGGACAGCCACAGTGGTGTCAGCAGGGAGCTCACTGCCTTGTGCCACCAAGATCACTTGATGTCTCTCTTAGGAGTTCAGGAGGTCATGTCATTTCTTAATTGGATCCCAAACCAGCAGGGCCTGCTCTGGAGCAGGCGCCACAGGGAGCACCCAGGGGTGATCAGGGTGGTGGCAGTGGGGTGAGTGCTGTGGTCTGGATTTCGTTCGAGTGTGTCCCCGAGGTTCACGTGCGAAGCCTTGTCCCCAGTGCAGTGCGGTGACGTTGAGATGGAACCTTTAGGAGGGAGCTGGTGGGAGGGCCACGGTGTTGGAGGTGCCACCACTGACGGGGTTCCGTGAGTGCTGGCAGGAGGGGGCTCAGTGCTCTTGGTGGCATGGGTCCAGTGTCGTTCCCCCTCGTGAGTCAGGCTAAGGAGGGGAGGGCACAGGTTGGATCTAAACAGCACTGAGTCTCAAAGTTCTTAATTCATTGTAGTAAATTTTCTTCATAAACTATGTCTTCATTAGATGTATGTCCTTGGAGCCGCACTCCCAACCCTCAAGACTCTAAATGCTTAATTTATTTTGTCTCAAACTATGTTTCCACCGATGTTGCTAGTATGTGGGTCCATGGAGTCACTCGGAATGCAATGACACAAGTCTCTCTGGGGATCTGCAAGCCATACAATTTTTTTTTTTTGTACCAGGGATTGAATCCAGAGGTGCTTTTATTTTTTATTTTTAGCCAGGGTTTCACTAAGTTGCTTAAGGCCTTGGCTAAGTTGCTGACTCTGGCCTTAACTTGTGATTCTCCTGCCTCAGCCTCCTGAGCTGCTGGGATCACAGACATGCACCACGGAGCCCAGGGGAACGATGCAGTTTTAATGCTGGCAGTCCCAGTGGCTTTTTATATGACAGTCACCCACATATTCATTAAATGTGTAGAATTACTGCAAGTGTTGAAAATAAACCTCAAAATAAATTAGAAGAATCCTTGCATATTAGGAAAGAGTGATAGGGATTGAAAAATGCCGTGGTTATTAAGGGATTAAGGTGGTTCCCAGGGGACCCCGATTAGTTCTTTTGAGAGGCTGCACTAAAGAGCAAGACCAGCCCCTCCCTGCTCTGTTGGACCTCCCATCATGCCGTGTGATATCCGCCTCCTGCAGGCATTCCCTTCATAACTTCTGACATGATGTGGTGCAGCTAAGGAGGCCTTCAGACTAACATGGCGATGGTGGAGGTGCTGCTGCTGATGGTGTGATGGTGCTGGCAGTGATGGTGGTGCTGATGGTGGCAGTGATGATGATGGTGGTGAGGGTGGTGGTGATGATGATGATGGTGATGATGCTGATGGTGATGGTGGTGATGGTCCTGGTGGTGCTGATGGTGATGGTCCTGGCAGTGATGGTGGTAGTGATGGTGGTGCTGGTGCTGATGGTGGTGATGATGACGATGGTGGTGATAGTGATGGAGGTGGTTAAAGTGATGGTGGTGGCAGAGGCAGTGGAGGTGATGGAGATGATAGAGGCCAGGGGTTCTTAGGGCTGAGGACGGTGCAGTCCACTCTGCCCTGCAGGGCCCTGCTTGGGGCATCCTCACAGGCTTTGGCAGCCTCTTTCCAGAATACAGCCTGGGACTGAGAAGGTCACTGTATTTGTTTGGCAAAATTAGGGCAGGGTTGTGGGCTTAAGAGCCCCCAGAGGCCTGGGAGGATGTTCGGGGTCTGGGAGTCCCGGCCAGCAGTTCAGTGAGTTCTGGGGCTTCTGTGTCTCCTGAGACCTGGCCTGACCTCATCCTCTGACCAGGGACCCTCAGGGCAGGGTTCTGGAGACCTCCCACCTCTAGCAGGGGTGGTATGTCCAGGCACATGAGAGGGCCCAAACACAGCTCGCTTGCCAGTGGTGGCAGCCACAGGGACCAGTCTGGGTGGGAAGAGGGGCAGCGTGGATGTGGAGCAACTGCCCACAAAGGAGGCCCAAGGAGAAGGTCCCTCCGTCGTCCACCCTGCACAACCCTGCTGGGCCGGAAGCCTCTGCATTCATTCCCTGTTCATTGAACAGGTCTGCAGGGGCCACAGCCAGGCCCAAGCAGGGACATGCCTTAGCAAACCAGGCCAACCAGGGCCCGCATGGCAGAGCTCACAGGACCCCGGAGCCACCCACGATGGGGCCTCAGCGCCCTCTGGGGAATTTTGGTGAGCAAGCTGGAACTCAGATGGGATCCGAGAGTGGCCCCCAGGGGGGAAGGTCTTGTCCTGTTCCAGGCTATACAGCCCCTCCCTGGCTCTGGAGGGAGGCCCATTAGGTCAGGGAAACTGGTGGCCTGCAGCCCCTGCAAAGTCAAGGGGCCCTGAGCAGGGGACTGGTGACAGTCAGAGGGCACAGCTACCTAGGCCTGGAGGGCAGAGGGCTGTGTCCCTCCTCACCCATGGTGGATGCTCAGAGTCAGATGCAATTACTCACTCAGTGTATCATAATTACTGCAAATAGCCCATTAAAGAGAAATTATCATCAGTATGATATTAGCAGACAGCGGGGGAAATGAAGAAAGAAAAGTGCTTATTCTCCCATTGTCCCCTTAATGGGGACAAGGGATGGGAGGCAGGGGCAGCTCCTGTTGGTTGACCTAACCCTCTGCCACTGCCTGGAGCCAGGAGAGGTCCGGCAGCAGCGGGGCAGGTAGGTGGTCCTGCCTCAGTCCCCTCTCCAGCAGCCCCAGGAAGTCCCCCATCCCTTTCTTGCCCCTCCCCAGCCTCTTGGCCCTGGGGTAGCCCTGGCCTGGGCTCCCAGAGGACCCCCCAGAGGGCCTGCAGGTCCCAGGAACCTGGGAGCCTGCCACTGAGCACCGGCCAGAGTCTCCCAACAAAACCGACAGAAATGTCAGGGAGGTGCGGTCTGTGGGGACTGGGAGCCGCTGCACTCCGTGGGGAAAGTCGTGGGGCCCAGGGGTCAGTGTCCCCAGGGCCAGGGGAAGAGCCCCAAGGCTCAGCTGGGGGCCTGGCTGGTGACCTGTGGCCTCTCCCAGTCACAGGGGA